GTGCCTCAATTTATTCTGTGTAAGTGAGAGGAAAAAAAAATTGCAAGATTCTTGACATACTGTCATACTCACCAGCATCTTATAGAATAAATGGCTTGGCTTTCTCCCTGGAATTAATATTTGCACAAAAAGTTAATAGAACATAAACAGTGTTGTATTAAACAGTATATTTACCTAGATTCTTCCAATATTCTGAAGTGTGCTGACAAACTTGCAGTTAAAGATGTCTGTACAAGAGAGCTGATCTTGTAATAGTTTTCTGGTAGAACTGCCTGATTCTCAAAAGAGATTTTTTTTTTTCCTGAAAGTTCTTGGCTGGTTCTTACACACACAAAGAGGGTGAGAAGGACGATATATTCAGCTCTAGCTTAAAATTGGGTTTGCTAAGAGCTAAATATAATTTTTCTTGTTAAAGTAACATAATCTACAATTAATACTTCATACAACTTCAATTATGTTTATGCAGAAATGTATTTGTTATAGTATATTTTGTTATGTCTTGGTAGCACACTTTATAATAACTACAACTTAGAAGAACAAGTAGCACACAATGAGCTTGAAAATGTAAGAAAAAATGTCAAATCGTTCTTAGACTGAATGCTTGAAATGTTTATCTTACTATTGTACTATATTTTGTTTATTAATTCATTTATTTTAAAAACACTGTCCTTCCCACCACCACAATCCACCTGTGGTTCTGTGACAATAGGTGTGAGAGTACTCTGTGGGAACAGTCTTAAGCACCAGCACGCGCTTCAACTCAAAGTCACGCCGACTAATGTCCTTGCTGCTGATTGCATGACCTGAGCTGCTTCAGCTGATGTAACACTTCTGTCCTTCCCGAGCAGTCTGATCTTTCATTTCCCTAGAATCATCCTGATATAAGTAGAAGTAACATATATATTTCAGAATATAAACACTGCTTGGGCCAAGGCACAGAAAGAATTTTCAGTGCTCTACCCAAAAACATAGTTTAGTTTTCAACACATGAAGCTTCAGTCCAGATCTGTACTTCAGAATTATACCAGCAGGGTGCCAAAAACAAAATAGCTGCTTCCTGTCAGGGAAGGATAGGAAGGAGTAAGGAAGACTCAGACTTCTGTGAAGATCGACCTGGACATATTCTGCAGATTAGAGACAGCAGTGATGACTTACAGGAATCCCCAGAAAACTCAAAGCAAAATGTCAAACTCAATTTAAACAACACTTTTTATTACGTGGTAGAAATGAAGATAAGTAAACTCTCACTCTATTTTGGGTTTTCTTACTGATGCCACAAGGATTGGCTTTTCTCAGAATTCTGTGCTCAGATGCATGCATGGCAATGGAGCTTGTTGCCCTGCACAGCTGTGGGTGCCTAAATGTCACAAGGAGTTGTTGCTAATTTAAATAGATATGAATGGATTTGCCCCTAATAAAAAAAATTGGAGTGGGAAGTGAAAGAAATAGAGCTTTCTGAATTCTGCTTTTGAGCAGGAATATGTGTATAGAAATCAATCTAGAATAGAAAATGATTTTTCTAAGTACTTTTCTTTTTTAGACTGTGATCCAAGAAGTCTTTGGTTATAGTTTGACTAAAAGATTAGATGTCACCAACAGCTTCTGTTGTCCACAAACGTTTTGTGACCTTCACAGAAATGACATACAGTCTTGGCAACCACATCTGTCCTCAGTTCGAAGATCAGATTAGTTTTCCACTGGGAAGCGCCTGCCACCTTGTGGCAAGAACTTTTTCTTTTCTTCAAAACGCATAAAACTAAAAACAAATAAAACAGAAATGCACAGCTAAAGAAACAGAGAAAGCAGATTAGTGGTTTCTTTTGCTAATTGGATATTGACTCATAATATTAGCAGTATTTTAAAATAAAAATTTAAATGAGTTTGTCACAACGTTTTTTTCCCTTCAGCTGCTTGTTTCATCTTTCTAATACACTGCAAAAACTAACTCTGAATTACAATATTTACTTAGGAGAACCTCCAACAATTTTGGTTTTCATACAAAACGTTGCTGAAAGCCATTGAGTGTCAAAGAAGTACACATTTGTGTCCATCCTGTAAAGTAACTGACCTCATTGCTCTATTTACTTTCAGCTATGGGAAACATTGAGCTTTCCTTTCCTATAACTACAAAACTCTGTGTGCTTCATGAAGCCTTTTCTCTGTTCCAAACACAAGAAAATAAAATAAGCCTCTCTGGTTTAAAAAACAAACAAACAAAACACACACAAAACAAAAACCACAACATTCATCTTTGTACTCCTTCCTTTTTCTTTTGCACTTGGCAATAACTGTCAGACACTGTGACTCTTTAAGTTCATAAACAGATGGCATAATTTAACTGTTTTCATTGATGATGGTTGAACCGGGGTCATGAAACTGTAGCAGCTTCAGCCATCCCCAAAACCGAGACAGAGGAACATAGGGGAAAAAAGTAAAAAGAACTTTACTGATGTGGCTCATAACCCGTTTGGTTCTCAAGTTTAGATGACTTTTTTCTTGTGAGGTTTTAACTGAGAAATATATTGCAACTGTGCTGATTTCAACAGATTAGAACAAATAGTGAACTTCCCAAGTCTGAGTACAAACTCATTCCATTTTAGGTCCTGAAAGTAATACTGGGATCAGTAGAAGAAACAACTGGAATTTCATTTGAAATCGTTAAAACTGCCAATATTGCCATTTTTATGCAAACAGAAATCTTGATATGTAGGATTTCCTGTTCCCAACATGTTTTAGCATTTTGTGTTTAAAATATTGATGTCTGTGCTCAAGAGCTGTCAAAGTGATGTTCTAGGAGATTGCAATCTTTTCTTGGAAGACACCATGTTCAAATACTTGGTAAGCTGCATTTGTAATATTAAGTTAGTGTGGCTCATCCTTAAGCCATTGTGCAATGGTGAAGTTCAAAAGCTGATTCATACACAGATTCCGTGCCATATGCTTAGATTGCTAGCATGCAAGACAGATGTTGCTGTGAGTTTGTAGAGTACAAGTATTCTAGAGAAACCCAAGTTCACTTTAAATTGGCTGCTGCCATACACATCTGCATATGCAAAAAACAAAACAAAAACAACCAACTCAAAAACCTTGCTTTCTGAGCAGCAGTAATCTGTAGTTTAATCTGTGTGGGTAGTGAAAATGCTAGCATTTTGAGCTCTGCTCTGTATGGAACCAGCCTTTCTATTGTGGAAAAAAAGCTCCAACACATTATGTTCTCCCTTTGTGTCTTGACAGCCGCTGTTATGAGTGTAAGTGCTGCTGTTAGTTTATAGCTTCTCAGCTTGCTCCAAAATGTATCTGAGATGGATAAAACATGATATAAACATAGGGATAGCTATTATCAGAAGCAGCTGTGTAACTACATTCTGGACAATAAAAAATAGCTTTCTGGCTATCTATTAAGAGAACAGTCCTGCCAGATGGACTCTGCAGGAAAGACATAGATCCCAAATGCTATGTTAGAACTATCAAAAACAAACAGCCATTAAGGCTCATCTAGTGCCACTGAAATAAAATGATAGAAAAAATGTCTGTGAGCCAAATAAGTTGCTTTGTAGCAGCTTTATAAATCTATTTATGCTTTGAATCTACAGAGTTAAGCCATTAAAAGTTATAACAGGAGCTTAGTGGCTCAGGAAAAGTTGTTCTTGAACAAGGGGTTGTTGTTAAGCATGATTTTCCTGGAGGCATGTGGAAATAGTTTTAGATAGTAATCATTTCAGAGATTAAACTTGGCTTTGTTAGGAGAGGAAATTGAGAAGATAGGAGGAAAAAATTGTAGGCAATTATAGTTATGTGATACTAATTAATTTTTGTAGAAAGAGGATGAGAACTAAAAAAGAAACGTGAGGTAGAACTAGAACACAAGTAGGAAAGTGAATGTGAGCCTGTTGTTTTAATCTGTTATTTGCAACTCTAAATTATATTTGGGAGAGGGTTTCCTGTCACATGTATACAAATGGATCTGGCCTAGATAAGGCAGCAGTTACTTCATAGAGAAAATATTTGTTTCACTTAGTGTGCTTTGGTCCACTCAAGTTGATGGCGAAAATTTTTAAGTGAAGTCCATCAAATTAACATTCTTAGTAATGTAGATGTTTTTGTTTCTGTTTAGATTTCCACGTACTGGGGATGAGTGGACTGATGAAATACATATGCTCCAGTCAGAATGTGCCTTTTGCAACAGCCTAGTGAATGTTTTGGGACTTGGTTATTTCTTTGCAGTGCAATCATAACCGGAATTATGGTGATGCTTTGCTTTTTCTGTAGAAAGCGTAAAGTAGAATAAAAATGATTATTAGCAAACTGTATTTCTTGTGAACCTCTAGGATCATGCTGTTGCATGTACTTCTTTTGTATTTCCAAACTGACAGCTCCAAGACAGGGAATATAAAAGTTTGGAGAGGGAAATATTTTTTTAAAAGGTCATCTGTAATTTGTGAGTATTTTAACTTCTATACAATGGCAATGTGAGTCCTGATTAAAACCTGGTAGGTACAGCATCAAGGTCTAGAATATAGTAAATGTGGCAAAATTAGGTCATCAGTGAAGTGCATGCTGTGCCTGTTTTTCCTACAAATTAAATTTTGAGAGTCTTCTCTAAGCGGATCAGCAAGAGGAAGAGATGCAACCATCACAGTTTGCATAAGAGGAGATTCCAGTGGATTTAAGGAAAAAATATGACAATTGAGCACTGGAACAGGAGCCTGGGAAGGTTGTATGATCTTCCTCAAAGGCAGAATAAATGTCTGAGCAACCTGATCTAACATTGAAATTAGCTTAGCTGCGGTCAGGAGGCTGGACTAGATGATGTCCCTTCAAAAATCCCTTCCAAAATAAATCGGTCTGTGATAGAAGGCACCTCTGTCTAAAACAGAGTGGTGTTAAATGCATCGTTTTTTAATGGACACATGATGTGCTGTACAAGAGGTCTGCCACAAGAGGGAGGACGCACGGTGCGGCCCGATGCTTGTGTGAGTGGGCGGTAGCTGAGCTGGAAACTTTCTCACAGACCTCATTCCTGTGCAGGGGCAATCCCCAGATGCCTGTTGTGTGCGAAGCCTGTGATGTGTGAGCTAAAGAAATAGAGGACATTACTTGCTTGCTGTCCTGATGCCAGGAGGATCTGGTGCCAGGCTTTAACAGTTGCATTCGACAAGAGGAACGTGGATTACGACTCTGCTGCATTTTCCTAAGAAGGTAACCTGCTCCAAGGAGCCTTTAGATAAACAAGAAAAAACTATAAATCTCATGTCAACATCCACTTCTCAACTCTGCTCAGTCAGCATGGAAAAAAAACTGTACGGCTTTCTTTTTTTGTATTAACTGCTGTTCAAGTACGGGTGCTTTGTATATCATGTTCTTAATTTAGCCTGGTGCTTACAATACTCCTTCAGTTTTCAAGAAGTGGTTTCTGAATAAAGATACAAGTGACTGTCCTCTTTACCTAAATAGTCTTAAAGATAAATTAGTGTTACTGTCAAAATATTCTTTATATTTTACACAGGCTGTATCAGCATGAAACAGAAAATACTGTTACTGTGTGTTCCTGAGGTATAATGTCTTGAGACTGATGTTAAGTAGGAAATTCTCATAGCATTTTTGAACAAATACATAGAATGGGACTTGGTAATGTATAAGTGATTACTCTTAGTAGTTGAACAGCTTGAGGAACGTGCAGGTATATTTCATGCTTAAAAGTATTCCTGAAAATCGCTATGGACATAATACTGGTGGAAAAAGAGTGAGTGTTTGGATCCAAATCTATAGTGTGTAACAGATTTATGTAGCATCAGAACAACGTTACTGAATGAAGAAGGCTTGGTACTTTCTCATTAGGACTTTTGAACAAATGAATGTCCTTTTTCAGTCATTTTCTTAGGATCTGGTAGAGTTCTAGAGAAAGAGGCTGCAGATATGACTTGTGTTCTAAAATGAAGAATCTGAAATTGAAGATTGTCTTCAAAAGCTGATTTGCCTTTGTGATAAGTTCTGATGCTTGAGTAATTTTTTTCTCCTTTCTTTAACATCTTACATACTTTAATGTTAAGAACAAAACTAACATTTTATAAATTAGAAAGATTTTTTTGTTGTAGTAACAAGTCTACATGTGTGCTTTAACATATTGCTTTTTCCAGTTCTATAGAAATGCTGTTTTGTTTAAGCTTTGGGGTTTTTACAATGTCCATATATTTCTGGTATATGTTTATAGAAGAAAAAGAACTTCTCAAGGGCTGCGCTCCCATTTGAGAAGGACTGCAAGAATGATAACATTTCCAGTAACTGCTGTTCCCCGTAATCTTTCTCTTGCGTGTCACAATCAGAAGAAAACGGAACTGTGTTCTCTTTCAGATTTGAAAAAATGTGGGCAAGTACGAAAAGATAAAACATTTGTGGTGTGTTTGAAAACATTCTTTTTAAAATTGTCCATTATTTGAGAGTTCATATTTGGGTATGGGGATAAACTTCACTGTGGCACAAGTACTTCAGCAGACGTCTTTGTGTTGCTGAAGGAAAGTTCATTAGTTCCTATGAGAGCAGTATACTCATTATGGTAAAACTCAGTTGTTAGTGCTCATTAATGGTCATCTTCATGGCCTTTGTATGTGTATCTTTCTGCTTTGTAGCATTATTTTTGAATGGTGGAGAAAAACATCTGAAAAATATGGGAAATATTTCAAAACTTGGCAGAACCCTACTAAAAAAACCCAATTGTTGGGAAAAGTCAGGAGGGGTCGTGGTTTGTGCCAGCATGGAGACGATCACAGGAGAAGTGAAACTTTTTATACCACAATAGGAGCATGTGACAGGGGCCCAAATGGGGTGACTGGAAAGAAGGGAATCCCTTTCAAATGCAGTCTTCTGTCTGTATCTTTGGAACCTATTGCAATCCATACCGTTGGGAGTACAGTTGCAGAGGGGAACCCTGAAGAGTTGTTTGCTCAAGTACATGTTGTTCTGAGGGTCCTGGTTTGCAGTCTAGGAAAGAAGCATTGCTGCGTCTGCGCAAGAGGAGGCCAGCCTACTCCCCCTGGGGATCTCCCTCCCAACACTGAGGTCAGAACTCTTAACCTGGAGGAAGTTCTGCCTGATGGAACGTACTCTGACACAGTGTTGTGGAAGTAGTTGGCAGGCTGTTCTGGTTTGTTCTGCGTTTACACCATAATGCTTATCAGTCCTGAGGTCAGAAGAATTTCAGTTATTTAGGACTGCTGAGAAAATAGTTCTCATCTGTAGTCTTTAGATAATAAGATGCATTTGTAGAGCTCCAATCTATTTAAAAATTACTGGATTCAGTAATCTGAATGTGTCAAAGTCTTAGAAACTATGGACAGGGGAAAAAAAAGCAACAGTAAAGTGTGGAAACCTAACAGGAAATAAATTCAGTAGTTGTCCTTTTCTGAGAGAAGTTCTGAGGGAATTGTTTTAAAGGGCAAAGCAATCAATCTCCTATACTTCAGTAGCAAATACCCTACTATTACATACTTGAGCTCTCAGCTTATCTGGACTGTGTGAGGATGAACTTTCTTCAGGCAGTATTACTAGCTCAAATTGTGAGCTCTAGTTTATTGCACATTTGAGCATTATAGTTCAGCAAACACAAGTATTAATATCAAGGCTGTCAGGAATTTACTGGCTGTGCCTATTCCATCTCCTCAGAAACTCATTTCTTCTGGGCTTTGTACTGGTGGCTTTTCTAAGTCTGATACTCCAAAATTGTTGTGGCTACACTGCGTACAGAAGAATGATGGGGTTGGAAAGCAATTGTACTGAGATCACTGGTGAAGATGTTGAACAAGACCAGTATTCAGTTTGTCTGAGTGAAAGTAAAAACTGAAATCTGCTTGTTCAGAACTGACACATCACAGTGGTTACCAATGGCATTTCAAATATTTTTCTGCTAAAAGCAGTATTCAAAAAAAAAAAAAGGGGGGGGGAAAAAAAAAAAGAAACAACAACATGAGAAAATGACTTTTCCAGTAACTTTTGCTGTGTACAAGCATAAAGATGTGGCAGTGAACAAAAGCAGTATGCGGAAGAGCAATTTACTTGGCTGCTTTGCAGACCTTCTGCATATTGTTGTTTATTCACCTGTCCTATGTCTTCTTTCCTACACCACTTCAGGATTGATTCTAAACTTCTCCATACACAGGGTTAGATACTTCTCTTCAAAAGTACTTTCTGACAGATGAGTGCACAACTTGGCACACTCCCAAATCTTGTGAAAAGAACAGAAAAGGCCTAAGCAGCTCCTTAAAAAAGCAATTTACATCAAAGTAGAAGGATTTTTTCAGAATAGCAGTCTATGTATTTCTAAATCTAAGTTGTGAAGTTGTTTCTTCATGCTTCGTGCTCGCTTCTGTGTCAAATACCATTTATCAGTCTACCCCACTGCAGCCATCCGTCACACAGCAAGTTGAAATAGAATATTGATGCGAAAGCTCAACCTCCACTGCTGTACCACCAACATCTGCCTCTGCTGTTGTGGTCCAACTTAATAAAATAGGAGGTGTTACTTTTGAAGGAGTTCTTGTATACTGCACTGTTCTCCTGTCACCTGCAATAAACAGAATGTATGAGAGTGATGTGGGAGTGCATGTGGAAGTTCCATGGCATCTGATGTGGAAGTGCGTATGAAGCAAAGGTATGGAACTGAATTCTTCTGTGCAGAAAAAATGGCACCACTGACATTCATTGATGCTTGCAGAATATTTATGGAGACCAACCAGTGGATGTGAGCACAGAGAGGCAGTGGGTGGTGTGTGGCTGCAGTGACATTGGGTCACTTCCATTAGTGCAGATATTTATGAGTGTGGCATGCAGGCTCTTGTTTATCACTGTTGAATATGTGGAGCTGATGGTGGTCACTATGTTTAAAAATGGCATTTTGTAGATAAGAATTTGCTCTTCAGACAGGGTTACTGTGCTCTTTGTTGTATTTGGAAATAATGAGGAGACATTACTTTTGGAGCAAGCCATGTGTAGGTAGTCTGGAAATACAAGAATCTTAAGAATATGATTTTCACTGTGCTGCTTTTCACTGCCTTACGTCTTTTTTGCCTTTTAATTTTATCACCTTTTAGATATTTGGTGTTTGTTTTTATCTCTGAAAACAATTCATGAAAACAATTTCTGTTAGTAGTAAGAACAAAAAAAATTGTACTACTGGAAAATGGTTTATAAACATCAACTGTGTTAACTCATAGTGAGCAACAAATGAAAAGCTAGCGTTATTTTTTCTTTTTTGTTGTTGCCTTTTGGAAAAACTTCAGCTCTGGCTGCACAACATTACAATCCCAGCAGAACTTTGGTTTGAAAGAATTCATTAGGTGCCTCTAGATTAGGATTTCACTACAATGCACAAAGGAGGTGATTGCTTCTCAAACAGCTTTATAGGTAATTTTGCCAGTAACTCTGAATATAGGGAAAAAGCTTCTCCATGCAAATGTCCTTTTGCTTCCTAACAGATCTTACATTTACTTTTCTCTAGACAACAGGTGTTTCTAGCCTGTTTGTAAAATCATCTTGTTTTTCAGCACGTAAAAACTGTTGTATAAGTGCTTTACTACTGTATTAAAACAAAAACAAACAAAAAAACACCAACAAAAAAAGAAAAAAACAACAAAAAAACTAACCAACAAATGATACCTTGATTGCTCTTGAAGTTATCATACTCATTTTCTCATTTTCCTCGTTGAAATAAAGTGACCCTCTGAAATTTGGCACAAAGCGTACTTTAGAGAAAGTGCAGGGTTTCAATAGCTTTCCTTTGCAGAAGCTCTGGTGAGCTGTGTGTTTCAACAAAAAAGGAATTTGCTGATAAGGGAGAAGCTGTTTTTTTGGAATTTCTCAAAAAATGTATCCATGTCATTTCAGTGTCAGGTTTCCCCAGTAATGGGAACAAACCAGTTGAAGTTGTTCTAACAGAAAAACTATCTCGTTACAGTATTTTGGGAGCTGCTTTGGGGAAATGGGGGTCTAGAGTCTGTCAGGCTCACTATCAGTTCCAAATGGGGAGATGATTCCTGTCAGCTGGTGACAACAGCAATGTTTATGGAGTGGTTATAGGTGCAAAAGCATAATAGCCACAGATTTTAAAATTTTATGGAGAATGCAGCTATCTTACTGTTCCAGTTCCCACCTCCCATTCTTTTCATTGTTGTTTCTTTCTTTCTTCTTACAGAACCAACTGCTGCCTTTACCAGGAAGAGGGCGTTTTGGCTCTGCTTGTACTGTTAAACCTCTGTCTGCAGACTGGAAATTTTCCTGTTTAATTGTGGTCAGCGAATACTGTGGTATCTCTTTGCTTTAACAAACTTGCAAATGAAGCAAAATCCAACACAGTTGTTGCTGTGGCTGTTGATGTTCCTCTTTGATACGGTGCCATTCATCTGTGAGAAATCAATGAAAGACAGAGCTATCAAACTGATGCAAGATACACGTTTAATTGATGGGTAAGTAAGCATCTTCAACTAAACTCTCAATGAATCTTCATAAGTGAGGAGGAGGTGCTAAAATGTGTTAGGATAAGTTGGGATGCAGACTATTCCTGGCACGTAGTAGTTAGTTACTGTTGAGATTTATCAGCTGGACAGAATTCCAATTCAAAGGCTAGTTAATGCAAGAACGTCTTACTCTAAATGCATTTGTGATTTTCTGGTGAGATTTCAATGCTGAATTATTGTTTCCCTTCACACAGTGCCCTTGTCTCCTTCCCATAATTTAGTGGCATCTTTGGTAGTGATGACTTCTTTACAGAGTTAGAAGGCAGGTACTGTGGTTTGAAAGAGTATCCTTACAACTAGAAGGAATTACATCTCTGATGTGTTTTAACCTGAGAACAGAAGCACTGGTTATAATGAACATTTGCTTCTAAGGAGCATGGTGGATGATATTAGCATGAATGGGCATGAATGCATGAATTAGCATGAAGAATGAAGATATTATTCTTATATTCCTTCAGAAATAGAGGGGAAAAAAGAAATACAGATGCATAACAGCAGTAACAGTGAGAAGCATAAAGCTTTCTTGCTGTCCTGATTAGAAGGAGCTTTAAGAATTAAAGATGCTTTGCAAAGGAAGGATACTTTTAGTATCTGTTAAACCAGGATTATTGGCAGTTATTGGTCTGTAAAACTAAGAAGAATTGAAGAAATTACATTTGGATTAGAAGAGGAACAACTTATTTCCACCCTACTTGTTTTCTATTCAAGCCACAATGACTTTGTGCTACGGCTGAGAATGTTTTACCAAAATAGAATCAGTAAAGTCAACTTAAGAGAAATCAACAAGACACACACGAACCTTCTGAAACTTAAGGCTGGTTATGTGGGAGCTCAGGTATGTACTGTCATGGCAGTGAGCCTGTATGAGGACACGTTTTTACACTTGTCTCATTCCCTTCCCAATCACAGAGGTATTACTGGCTCTGGTTCTGGCTCTTTCTGTTCTGAGAGACAAAATGATACTGAAAAGCAACAGGCACTTTTCTGTGTCATTTGTATTGCAAATGTTCGTGTTTATAATCCAGCTACCCTTAATCAAAACAGCAGCAATTGCTTTCTGGTAAATGAATTATATTAAAAAAGTTACATCTGCTTTTCTGCATGTATTGTGGAGTTGTTTAGTAAGTTGAGAGAGCTGAATTGCACAACATTTTGTTCAGAGGGGAAAAATTATAGTAGCTTGTAAACTGTAAGAAATCACTTTGACCTGTACTTGTGAACTCCACTATTAGCAATCTGTAGCTTCCCAGTTGGAACACAGATCATCTAGTTTACTTGTCAATGTCTCTTTCAGTTTTGGTCAGTGTATGTTCTTTGCAGCGCTCAGAACAAGGATGCTGTGCGTCTGACCTTAGAGCAAATTGATGTTGTCAAGAGGATGTGTAACAGCTACGAAGAGCTTGAACTTGTAACAACTTCCCAAGGTGATACTCTCTCTTGCAGCTGTTATTTATTTTTTTTTTTAAATTAGATTTCCAAAAGCATGTGCAGAAGAGAAGAAACTGTAAGCGGGCAAGTTAGCTATCCTAGTTTAAAGAGTAACTTCCATTTTTCTATTCAACTACAATATCTGATTGTGCAAAGCCCTGGCTTGCTGCAGCTGTAAGATAATTTTCCATATAAGTATACACTGAAATAAAGCTCCTGTCTTACAAAAACATCAGTATTATTTTTGCAACTCTGAATAACCATTTTTTCTCAATAGTGTATGAAATTGCTTTGGAATTACTTTGATGTTTCCAGGTATCTCTGACAGTAGGAAGATTGCATGTTTGATTGGAATAGAAGGCGGTCACTCCATTGACAGCAGTTTGGCAGCATTGAGGATGTATTATGACCTAGGTGTTCGTTACATGACTTTAACACATTCCTGCAATACTCCTTGGTAACTAATGTGCATGTGTTTGTGTAACCATATCATGCAATGTGGTGGCAGTTCCAGGAGGGGGAAAAATGTGGATTCAAATAAAGTCTGCCTGTGTCATACTCAGTCCAAACAAAGTCAAGGATGACAGGGTTGGGAGGTCGATCACCTGCCCTGTAGCAAGTGGGTATCTGAAGGATCTGTTGTGCGGTGCTTCCTGCACTGACAATTTAAAAACTTTTAAATTTTGTTACCAATAGAAAAATGGCAAAGTTGCCTTCTGCTTTGTTTTATTGAAGAGGTATTTATATAAATATATAAATTTATATATTTATTATATATAAATTTATATATTTATATATATTTGCATAGGTCAAAACAGACAAAAACAACAAAATAAGATGATGAATATAATGTGGCTTAAAGTTAGTAAATGCTTTCTAAGAACTTGGCAGTAAGAAGCCTTTAAAGCCATCATCTCAAAATCATGGGTCCCATATGCGGCTATGGAGATGGTTACTCAGTTCCTCTCTCAGAGTATGAGTACCTACTCTTTGTTGAATTGACAAACTTCCTTTAAACTAAGGCAAAAGAAAGCTGTGTGCAGAAGTCTGAAACATACTGGCTTTGTGGCTGACGGGTAGCTGACAATTCACCTTTGCTTTCTGATGAAGTTTTGTTTAATCAGAAAAATTCGGGCTTGTCATTGTCATTGTGAAGCTTATCATTTTTACACAAACATGCAACAGACCTGAACAGTAAATATATGGAACACTATGTGAACAAGATACTTATTGTGCAGCTTGGCTGTGTGATATGGCTTTATTGTGTATAACATATGATGTTTCAGTAGCTGATATCGTAGTCTGCAGAATATGACTCTCCTCTCTCACTCCTCTTTTTAAGGTCTGAATCTTCATCTAAAGGAATACACAACTTTTATCCTAATGTTATTGGTTTGACTGCATTCGGCCAAGTAAGGATCTCTTTTTGATTGATAATCTAATCAATCTCTCATGCAACTAACAACTTCTGACCTTTTCAAGAACAACTTATCATTAAAAACTATTTCTGTAAGTGCTTGCTAATTAGGAGTGATTAGGATTCAGTAAGTATGAATTTGTGATGTTTATGTATTAGATTTCATTCTAACAACTGTTTCAACACAGTTCTGATGTGTGAAATAAAGTGGAAGTAGTGAGATGCGAATAACAATTCAAAAAATTTATTTTGGATTGATTAAGCTTGGTTTGAGCATGTGGTGGTATTCTAGTTAATTATAAGTGAATAAAACTGACAGCTGCAGAATTTATCTGGTTACATACATCATCTAAATAATTTCCTTTAAGGAAACACAATACTGACACTGTTGTCTGTAAATCTGTTCTAGGAAGTGGTAAAGGAAATGAATCGTCTGGGTATGCTGATAGATTTATCTCATACTTCATATTCCACAGCAAAAACTGCACTACGTATCTCAAAAGCACCAGTAATTTTCAGCCATTCTTCTGCATTTTCTGTTTGTAATCACTCCAGAAATGTTCCTGATGATATCCTCCTGAACCTGGTGAGTGCTTTAAAAACAAACAAACAACAAACCAAAACCAACAAAATGAGGGGGAGGTGCCAGTGTTTGACTAGTCTGAGGCAAATTTATACATGCAAATCACAGTGTTTACATTTTACCCCCTCATCTATGAACTGGATTTAAGCAGATCCCAGAGCAGCAAGTTACACGTTCACTTCTGAAGTATCTTCTTTGGGTTGTGTTTTATCTTTCTTTACAAGAATAAAGTGGTCGCAAATTCTTTGAAATTCTGATAGAGTTTGTTTGATGTAGTCACCGGACTCTGGTGATTCAGGCCATATGAGGATGTAATGAATCCAGGGTGAAGGGCAGAAAGGCAAAGCCTTGTGTTGCCATCTGACCTTTGATGTATATTGTTGTTATGCTCACTGGTGGATGGATAGAAAAGGTTCTGCACAAGATGCCTATGACGTTTGCAGGACACACATACGGACACTCATCACCAGTCTCTTCCTTTCTTTCAGAAAAAGAACAAGGGGATTATTATGGTGACATTCAATGCAGATGTACTGGCCTGTGGCAGAAAAGTTGCTAATGTTTCTACCCTAGCAGGTTTGAAGTGAATACATTTTGATTTCTGTGGGTGGCTTCCAAGAATTTCTTGCCATCTGGGTCATTTTTCAGACTGTGTAAATGGTACTGTTTGCTTATTTCCTTCCCCACACTATCCCAGCTCTGAGTCTTTTTGGAGCTGATGTTCATTTAAACTATAGCAAGAGCTACAGGGTGCATAGCTTGAGGGACTGATACTCCTACATAAAGCCAAGAACTATTAATCCCAAACTAATTGTTACTTGCTGGAAAATACCTTAAACCTTTCCACTTAAGAGTCCAAAACACTGGTATGTAATGGGTAATGAAAAATCTGTTGGTATATTTGGGCTTTCTGTTGGGAATAAATGTGCTGAGATGACTGTATCTTTTTCTTCGTTTATATCTCACTGATTTAGATATTATATTGAAGACTGCTATCTGATGCACTTTGTAACATAGAATACCCAGATGAGCACGAGTAAATATTCTGAATGCATTGACTGTGCTATTAAAATTTAACCTGTATTATCAGGGTGTCTTTTGAGCTGTTTTTAAAAATAATTTGACTACGAATACATGTTTATGAACAGTAGTCTGGTGCCAGTATGTCTGAACTGAATTATTTCTTCCTGGGATATGCTTGCAAGTTGTTTTCTTTGTTATTTTCTTTCAGATCATTTTGATCACATAAAGAAAATTGCAGGCTCAGAATCAATAGGAATTGGTGGTGACTATGATGGAGTGGAACGGTTGGTAAAATCATAAACACATTGATATTTGCTCTTTAAATTTTGATTCCTTTGGGGAAAAAAAAGAAGATAGACTAAAAGAGTTTTAGTTTTAGTCCTGTGATGAATGCTAAAACAAGCTTTATGAAGGAAGGACACAAATATTACATGCAAGAATGAGTGCCTTAAGCGAGGACACCGGCCCTAATGTATAGTCAGCTTTGCAAACGTGTACTGTAGGGAGCAGTTTGTGCATGCAGAAACGATGATGGAGGGTGCCTTCTTCCAGACCAGTGATGAATTACAGAAAATATGCTTCACCCTTCAGAAGGTAAATGAGTTACCCCAGGACTGATTGTTGTGGTCCTTTTCAACCCAGACCATTCTATGATTCTGTGACTGCTGCAAAACTCTTCTCTCTGCTGTTACTTTCTAGAGGGAAAAGCCTAAAATGCCTTGGGGCTGTGTAACCATCCCTGCCTTCTGGGCTCAATGAGCTATCCTTGGCATATGCTGGAGGAAAGCAGAACATAGTGAACTGTCTAAAACATAATCTTTTCTGTTCACTCCTGGGCAACTGTATCTGGTGATACAGATGTTTCCTCCTACTCTCAAGGCCACATATAGGAGGTTCAATGCTGTTGTCCTGCCTGCACGTAAGTGCCTGTTCCTTCCAGAATGCATAGTTTAGTTCTACTGAGATCCTCTCTGCGAAAAAGAGTCTTCAATGTTGTCTCAGTCCTGCTTTGTGTTACATCAGTTGGATTCTTCATTTTTATGACATCTCAGAGGAAGAAGTGGGTATAAAAAAGCTCATTCTAAAAGTGAATATGTGCGAAAGACCACTTAAATATTTTGGTACATTTTTAAGCGATCTGTGTTGAATGTTCTTGTGTTCTTGTTCTCTTGCCAACAGTTTCCCTGAGGGACTGGAAGATGTTTCGAAATACCCTTCTTTGATTGAGGAACTTCTTAGAAGAGGGTGGAATGAAACTGAACTAAAAGGGGTCTTAAAGGAAAACTTCCTCCGTGTCTTCAGGGAAGTGGAAAATGTAAGACTGAAAACTAAACTGAATACTGATTCTTACTAAAGGGAAGAGAGACACTGCTGTTGTATTGTTTTTTTATATATACAATGAGAAAGTCATGAGGGAGCGTAAGTACTTAAAGTAATAATTCCAAACGCCAGGAAAGAAACCGAGATGCCAAGAGAATATTAGCAGAATAAAGGAAAGTGAGAGAGAGAGTGGATGGAACTCTGTGGGGCCTTTTCTCTCTGGGGTAGTCTGGACAAGTAAACGTAATTGACTTCTAAACACAGTCACTGCACACTTTGGAGATGCTGATGATTTTCCTACCACGTAGACCTTTTTCTTAACTGTTTGTTGATGCAGTAAGGAATGCTGACTCCTGAAAATCAATTAAGTTCTTGTCCTAGGATCAGTCTCCTTTCTAAATGGCTCTTGTCATGACTAGGTCGCTAACAGACAGTAAGTGTAACAACTAGATCACAGCAAACTTGAAGTATAAATGTCAGAAAGGAGTCAAGAAGAACAAGGGAGAAGTGGCAAGAAAAGAGACAGTATGAAAAAAGTAAGAATACCCTAAGTGATAACTTTTGAAAAGGCCTAGGTTGCAAATTGCAAGCTGCCTGCCTGTTCTTGTTTTTCTTCACAAAATTTAATAAGTAGGTATTACACACAAGACCTTATAGACAATATATTTTTTTTTTCCCATTTACCTTTTTGAGGTATGTTATGTGTAAAGAAATTAAGGAGTTTTGTACTATTCCAACTACTCTGCCAGAATATCTGCCTGTTGCTGAGTTGTATATGTGGCAACCTGATGTGAAAAGGCAGACATTCATCATACTTAATCAGCCTATGCGATTTTTTCTGATCATCTTCCTTCTGAATTAGACATCTTTGAAATTCTGTCCTGTGGATATAAGCTGACTTATGGAAGAATGCTTATGAGTTTGTTTAGTTACAGCCTTTTAATTAATGCATTTGCATGTAGTGGAAGCTGAGGCAAAGAAAAGCCAGTACTGTGACTATTGCTATAATTCATTTGCAACTATTACTGTGAAATATTTCATTGGAATGCAAATATGAGGATAATGATGTTGTTTTACTCGAGTTCAAATATGCTTTTGCAATGCAGTTTGAGTTGCTTCACTTGAAATAGCATTGAATTTGCCAGCTACGTTAAGATTTTTGCCATCGTATCAATCTGGCTTTCAAGGGCAATCTTTTGAATTTTTCTAGGTGCGGAACAATAATGGAGAATGGATGGATGTGGGTGAGAGTGAAATTCCTCATGAAGAAGTACAAAATTCCTGTCGCCTAGACCTACATAATATTCAGATTCAACCTGACAGGTCTTTTGGATTTCCTTCTATGGCACAGTCATTTAGTCTATCACTTGTATTTGTACCATATTTAATACTATATTATTATTTATAATATCGTGGATTCTGGAGAGAATGAAGAAAATTAATGCCACTAGTTACCTTCTGAGGGATGAGCTGTTAATGTAGACCTAGGCTAGAATATTTAATACCGTTTCCATACTTTCACCTGCACACTTGAAAGCGTAGATTTTAAATGTTGTGGCAAAAGCATTTAGAATTAGAAGTGAGAAATTCTATCACCCTGATCAAACCGGCAGCAACTTTGTAAATAGAAAATAGTTGTGCTTAATAAATAAATCCTCTAATACATGACACATGATTTTGGTACACATGTTGTGGCATTTGATGTTAATACCAGGGTCTAGAATCAGCAGTACCACACAGGCTTTAGTGGGCACGATTATGATATTGAGACAGCTGTACCAGGATTTTGTCAAACATAACTTCTTTTTACATGGTACAGGAGTCACCACTGGTTAGAGAAGACACCCCCACCCTAATAGGTGTAGAAGAGTGCTTGTGTGTGTTTTTTGGTTTTTGTTTTTAGTTTAGACAACAAACTGGATAATGTGGATACTTGAATTCAGTTTTCATACCTACATTTAGCTTTAGAGAACCATTCTGTAGTACTAAACTCATTTTTGAACCCTGACCAGGACAATGGGAAGCTGGAGAATTACTGAAGGGAGAAGGTAGGTGGCTCATATTCGGATGTTAGCAGAATAAAGGAGCAGATGTTCAGGTAGTGTTGTAGGTACTCTTGTTTAATTTGAGGATAATGTCAAGCAGGAACAGAATTGAAACAGCAAGTCAGTTTTTCTCTAGAATAACTTGAGGCTGCTCCTGCCATCCATTCCTGCGTACGTGTGCCAGTAGTGTTTCTGGAGGAAGACAGTTCCTGCTGTTGCTTCAAAATGAAGCTTAATTAGCTCGTCTGATAGGCTGGTCTCATTGATAAGTATATTCTGAATATGTTAGAGGCACTTGAGGAACTATTTGCAAGCTGTGTTGAATATTTTAGTGCAAACAAACCAAGTTTTTAAGAATAGTTTCTCAACAAATACTGAGACTATTTATGGATACACAGTGGAGAATTTCAGCACAAGTTCTGTCTTCTCAATACTGCTTAACTGGTATCACAAATTGTTTTTAAAGCACGTGATGCTAGTCAAATGATAAATGCAATAATGTAGATATTTACTTTGCATTCTTACTTCTGCTAATAGTTTCAAAAGCTGCTGGAAAACTGCCACCCATGGTCTCTGTTCACAAAAATAGTACTGTGATAGTAAGTCAATTGCATATTTGAAATGTAAGATGCCTTTTTATTTCTGTGTTGTCAATTTCCTGCCTAATTTCTACTCTTTTTTCTCATTACTGAAGCGTGGATTCAAAATACATTTGTCTCCTTGAAGGTGTGGATAATACCTTTGTATCGTTCTGATTTCATGATAGTATAGGTAATTGTGGTTTACTTCCCTGTTTTATGTGTAGTGTATTTGTGCTTATTTTCTGACTTTTGTGTAACATTTAATTTGTAATCCCATGGAAAACTATGAAATTAAATAAAATATTGTTTAAAATTTTCTAGATGCTGTTGCAATCTCACAAAACAGTGTAAAGTTCAAAACCATACGAAGCCCTGAAATAAACCCTGTGCAACTTTGCTGCAGAAGGAAGGTCATGGTATTGTGAGGCTACTGAGCCTCTCTGCATTGGAAGCTAGTTCCGCCACGGTAGACAGAAGAAAGTCAGATAGATTTAAGCCTACAGGCTTTAAGGCTCCTGGAGGTGGGTAGTTAGCTTCATCTTCATTCAAATGCAGCCTAACCTGGAGGGAAGTTTTAGCAGGTACTTCTGAAAGGGAAATGTGGCTGACACAGTGTCATTGCAGCAAATCCTTGATGACAGTGTTCTGGCAGCAGCTCACTTGATCAAGCTATGTGGAACTATACAGACTGCATCAAGGTAAGATAACCTCTACTTTACAACGTTTTGCACAGATGTGCAGTGACACAGAAGTCCTGCTTTCCATTGCTCCTTACAAAGTTATCCGAGAAAACTTCCAATAAATTGCTTGCGTGAGACTGACTCAGTGAGCGACTTGTTTAGGCCACAAAAGGATTTTGACCCATTTTACATTAGATGCGGAGAACTTAAACATAAAGTTCAGTAGGCATCTGCACCACAGAATCAACTTTGAAAGGACAAATATCATCACATCTCCATCATCTTCTGAAGTGAAGTACAGCTGTCAACTTTGACTGTTTCAGTGCTACCCTGAATCTTGGCTGCACGTTGTTATGCTTGTGACAGCATTACTGATTGTTTAAATACATGGTAAACTAGTTTAGGAGGCTGATCTATCTGGAATTACTCTTTTCCTCTCTCCAATGATGGGTTTTCTACTGATCATCTCTGACAAAGTTAAGTGCTCACAATTAGAGGAGAAGCAGAAAAGCAGAGCAAGACTGCAGCAACTGAAGCTTGGATTTACTCTGTTTGCTATTTGTAACAGAAATGCTAAGTCATGGCCTGAAGTAGTGATTAAGCACCTGGTAGGAAGGGAGGGCCAGCCCAGGAGAGCTGGATCCATCCCTTCTCAGACCTCATTTAAGGTTTGGCAGTGGAGGCAAATGTATACTGTTGGAGATCCCTGCGTACCTGAAGCCTTCCGAATGTAAACAGCTTCTTTCCCTTATTTCTCTGCCCATGGCTGTTACGTTTCAGCAAATTCTCACTAGCTGCAGATCTTGCTGCTCTGCTGTCGTTGCACTTTCTACCCTGTTACGTTACTGATAAGTTGCTCATTTGTTCACCCTTCCCTGAACTAACGCATGTGGAATAGATCAACTTACTTCAAATTCTGAAAATGCAAAGTGGTTAGTCTACAACTCCTTTCCTCCTCCATTCTCTTGAAAAAAGAAAAACAAACATTTGCCTTTGTGCTTACAATTTGATTAGATTAGATTTGATTCACAGACCCAGAGCAGCCTGTAGATTAGCTGAACTGTGTTCAGAGCAGGCTGATGCTGGACTATCCTTCTGGGCCACTTTGGAGCATTTAAGTCAGTGTTCTATTAAACATATATTTTTCATCTGGTATTGATTTTTATCATAGAATCATAAATCATTAGGGTTGGGAAGACCACTAAAATCATCTAGTCCAATTGTCAACCAACCTCACCATGCCCAATAAATCATGTTCTTCAGTGCAACGCCTACTATTTTCTTGAAACCTCCAGGGACAGTGACTTCACTGCCTCCCTGGACAGCCTGTTCCAATAACTCACCACTCTTTCAAAGAATAAATTTTTCCAAATATCTAACCTCACCCTCCCCTTGTGCAACTTTAAAGGCTGTTACTTCTCATCCTATTTCTGTTACCTGGAAAAAGAGGCTGACCTCCACCTTGTTACAACCTCCTTTCAGGTAATTATCTTGTCAACTTACAAGCTTGACATCTACAAAGAAAACACCTTATGATGGTTGTTGGGTGTTTGATGCTCCTATGACGGGGAAAAAAAAAAAATAATTGAACCTAAAATCTTTTATTAACCTTCGCATTTATTTATAAGATGATTATGTAATTTTTGTCAGAGAAAAACAAAATTCCACAGGAGGAAAGTATTTTCATCCCAGTTCTGTTTTTCATAAACGTCAAGATCTCTGGTGACTAAGATAAAACCTTGGTTACCTGTTGTCTAGTATTATCAGATGAGCTGTTCACACAGTGAGTTCCGCAAATTGCAGAGGTGACAACCTCATTTGTATGTTGTTTGAGAAGTTGTTGCAATTCATGATTATTTTCATTCAGAGTAAAAGCAGCAAACAACCTTTCTTCTGTGCATCATATTCCAGAGGAGATATTAGACCTGGTTCAACTGCTTCTGTCATGAAAAAATCTGTCATGAGAGCCAAAAAACTGTAAAAAAAGTGTAATGAATGTTCAGCATTTAACCTACCTCACAGAAACACTGCTGCTTCTACTCATCTCAAGTGAGAGGTCGCTTCATTTTGCTCTGTTTCTGTTGATTTGTAAACTTTGCTAGGATGATTCTCTCCCTTATGGGTGGGTATTTTTCTCTGAAGTTCTTTCTCTGTAATCTCACCTCACTATTTTCATAAAACGTTTCTTTCACCTATGAAGTCAGCAGTTTTACAATGAAAGAAAGGCACGATATCTGGCAAGCAAGAATTCAGGTTTCTCTATGAGTTTTGCTGAGAAACAAAATCGATTTTAAAACGGCTAATACTAGAACTGAAGCTACTATGAATTCTCTCAGACAAATAAAATGGAAGTTTCTTCTCTGAGTCATTCATTAAAAAATAAATAGATCACAGCAAATCTAAGTGCTGAAAATCCACCTGAACTGAAAAATTTTATATTTAAAAAAAAAAAAAAAAAAGAGAGAGAGAGAGAAATGGAAGAATAAAAGGAAGCACAACAAACCACGGAATGTTTTTTCAGCTCTTAATCCTCCAATGAAAATTACTGCAATATTTAACAGTTTTAGTGGAGAAAACTTTGGTCTAGTTTGTCTTATTTTAAAGTACTAAAACTGAGTTTGAAGGGAGAAATTAAAATATTTAGGCTTAGTAATTTTTCAGTCTAAAGTGGAGTTTAATATGTATTTGTAGAAAATGTCTATTTCATGCACCAAATGCAGTTATGAGTAACTTTGAAAGTGGGGAAGGAGGAAGTTCCTTGAAGTAAACAAATTTTGATGATAAGTGGCACCATAGTGTCCTCTTGTGGTCTTTTAATACGTAAGCCATGGCATATTTTCTAGGAGAGAAACATCAAAAATGTTCCATTTCAGGTAACATATCAGCCCTTGTACAAATACAGCTTGACCTTTCTTTGCCTTACTTTTCCCCTGAAATGTCTTATGGAGAACTGTACTTTGTATCTCCCATAAAATCTCATTACTGTCTGCTCAGTTCTTAATGCATAGATGCACACGTTGTCCTCTCCAGCAGACCTCTTTCACTGACTGCTTACCATTAAATAGAAGCCAACATTTGGCAGTGAGAAATATTTCTACCAGGTTACCAGTTTCTGGCCTGCTTTGTTCATAAAGCTGGATTGATCCTCGGATGTGGAGAAGCAGGAATGTGCTGAAAACGGAAGCTCACTGTGATCAAATCCTAGCAGTGAATTTGCAGGATTTCTGCCAAGCCTTGTGTTCAGTGGAGCTGTACCTTGGCTGTGGCATGTTTTGTTATGACAGCTTTTCTGATGGTCAGCACTAGGCTGCTTGTCACCCAATTACATTTGAGTGGGGGAAAAAGTCCCTTAAAACAAATAAATTACGGACTCATTGCGGTACGTATTCCAGCACGACATGATGGGGCATCTGGATCCCCTGCAATAACCCTTTAAATTCCTTAGAGCAAACCATCATAGCCCAAATAGAATACTTCCAGCCTGTAGTACAGCTGAAGTTGTGGTATTTAAATATCTGTATTTATGTGTTAGCTTTAAAACTTGCAAGTATTTGTTCCTTCCAGGAAGTAGGAAACATAAAAGCCATCTCCAAACACAGTTTCTGATGCTGGGTTGTCTTATCTTTAAATAGCAAATCATTTCCACTGTGAAGGAGTTGAAACGCTGTTATGTTTTGTTGTTTGTTTCTTGTTAACGTTGCACACTGCAAGTCTGCAAGCTAACAGTACTCTGGGGCTCATATAAAAAGGCATTTGATGTACTACATCACCTGGTGAAGGCTGAGTCAAGCTGTGGTAACTTTACTGATAGTAATTCTGCATTCGCTTTCTCCTAGGATGAGCACAGGCGAATCGTGCCAGAAGCTGTAGATCGTCATCTGTTGGGGATGTGAAAGAACACCTTGCACTTGTAAGTCAACAACTAATGAACGTGGTATGCAGCTGCTATCTCATGCTGGAATGTAAAAGCCAAACGTTTAAAATTATTATTATTTTTTAAATACTTGAGTGGTTTCACCTGTAATATGAAGTGTTCAAGGCAAACTTGACCTTGCTTGCTTGCCCGGATGACTTGTATCAGGATCTTCAGCAGCTTAGTGAACCATCCTTCCAGAAGACTCAGTTTCTCATACAACCTTCTTCTTTGAGTTGAATTATTTAATTAGAGGTATCATTGTTTTGTACAAATGCTATAGTATTCTACATCAGCTTGTTTTTTTTTTTTTTCTTCAGTTTTGTACTGATACTAGAAACTTGTAAGGCCTGTGGTGGCTTTTTAGAAGTCAAAGTCAGTATTCATATTTAAAACAAACAAACAAACAAAAAAAAACAACACCAAAAAACCCCAGTCACTTAGGTTGAAATTTCAGTACTGTTACAACCCATATGCTAAAAAAGTTGATATAGGCAGACAGCTTCCTATCTGTAAATATTGGTGGTCTACAAATCAGTAAAAAGTCATCCTCTTCAGGCAAAAGAAATATTTTTTTTGTTTCAATACACTTGAGTATTTCCTTGGCCAAATTCTCTCCTAAAACATTTGGATACAGTTTCCATTCCAGAGAGGGGAGTTGTCTGTCTATGTGGATAAGCTTGACTTTTTTTCTTTTCCCTAATGGCATACAATTTAAGTGCCACCAGTTTAATGGCACTTAATCATTCTGTAGTGGCCTTGATACATTTTTGGTACCTAAACCAAGACAGCTCCTTGCCAGACCATTCTTCTTCCTGAACAAGAGTGGCTGCAAAAATATTAACCCTTTAAAATTCTTATAATCTCCATCTTTTCCTTTTTTCCCTCTAGGACTGCTTACTTAGATCAGAGTTCTATAAAGTCAAAAACAGAAATAAAGATACGAGACTAAGCACAAACTAAGTTACTTAATGGTAAGTTCTCATCTTGTCTTTCTATGTAAAATTCTTTGTTCCCTGTCAATTAATGATTAATTATCCTGTTTTCTTGGTGGACTCTAGACTCTCATACTTGTGAGCAGTACTGAAATGGAATTCAACCTTAAGAGGTTAAGCAGAAAATGCTACCTTTCGGTCAATTTTTATGCATTCCTCTGGGAGAAAATACATTGCTGGAGACAAGTCAGTGGAAGGAGTAGCACACCAGCATGCTTCCTGTCTGTACTAACATTTCTAAAATCAAAAGAAATGCTTTCTAAATTACCCACCCACAGGAGTTGTTACTGAGATACACATGGTCACATGAAGATACACTGTTGTCTTCCTTAACTGAGCAAAATGACACAAGTAGAATGTAATGTATATGAAAACACAGCGGTCTTAGAAGTCTTTCCGCTTGTCGGATCAGTGCTAGGAGGTGTAATTGTTCTGGCTTTCCCCAGAGGTGGTCTATCGACAAGTTTGTGTTAAGTGAACTGAGAGACCTGTAACCCCTTGGCTGCAGCCACTCCACAGCATGGATTCTGACAGTTTATTTCAAAACCCACCTAATTAAGAGTAGACATTACCTGTGAACAAAGCATTTTCCCTCTTGCTTGTCTCTCCTCTGCTCATTACAGGTTTTCTTTCTCTAAGTGACCTAAGGGTTGCCTGGTCAAAAAGGCAGGACAAATTCTTAATGTTAGAGATAAGGTTTTTCTCAGTACGAGGAGTGTTGAAAGTCTTCCCTCAGTCTCTGCCCTAGGGCTTCTATCCTCCCACAGACTCCTGTACAAAACAAAACAGAATAGTTCAGGATTGACTTGTTGCTGATTTATTAAGATGTATTTTTAATCAAAAATCTACAAAACTAGTTTGAGTTGGTACTCTGTAGTAGAACACATGTAGCAAAATGCACAAGCAGTTCTGTAAAGCTTTCTGCTCTGATGAGTGCATAATATATTAAATAGGGATCATTTTGCTTTCAAGAGTAACTTTCTAAAGCAGACAATAAATAGCATTAGCAACTATTAATTGATCTTTAAAGCCCATATGAGGATTACAACTATGAAACAGGCCGAGGTGCCTGCCAGTTTTTTTTTTTTTTTCTCACGTGCAGGCAGAATAGAATTTTGTTGCCTCGGTGACGAGGCTGAGACACAGCGGTGCCCGGCCCTATGGACCGGCGGGCTGCCATTAATAACGGTGCTGCTCCGGCTCGCATCGCCTCCTAAGCAGAGGGGCCAAGTTCATCTGTCCTGGCAGTCTGCTGCCTTAGCAACTGTCTGCTTTGCATAGGGCTAGGAACGTCGCGGCTCTAGCTAGCATTCACATTTCCCGAGAGAGGGATTTTACTCCGCGCTCCCCCAGCCTCTTTGTGCAGTCACGTTTTTCTCCCTGCCTCCCTCGGGCTTGCTGTTCGCCATGCTGTTGCTGAGGCTTTGGCGCAGCACGGATCAGCCACCCGCCGCCTGCACAAACACGGGAAACGGGGGGCAGCTGCCGCATCTGGAGCTGGAACGATATCGTTATCTGGAACGATAAAGACAAACCGGCTCTCGGGATGACAGCGTGTCTTTAATTAAGCCGTTGCCGAACAACCGAGGCCCAGGACTTAAAGTTCAGTGGGTATTCGCGAGCGTTTCTAACTGGCGTGCTCTGCTACCGCGGCATCCCGCTGCATTTTCCATCGCGGCACGGTCTCTCGGGGTTCGCGATCCCCGGGGCCGCCGGCTCCCGCGCTGCCGAGGCCCAGCAAATGGCGGCGGGGGAGGGAAGCGTCCCCCCAGGGCGCGGAGCGGAGGGAGTCCCGCCCCGCCCCGACTCCCGCCGCCCTCGGGCCCGGTGTCGCCGCGGCGGCTGCGGGAGGAGGAAGGCGCCCGTTGTCTGCGCCGCCTCCGGCCCCTCCTCCACGCCCACGCCCGGCGGCGCGACCCCCTCCGCGCGCCCCGTTTCCCGCCCGCGGCCCCGGGGGCGGCGGCCGCCGCTCCGCCTCACCGCCCCGGCGTTCGGAGGGGAATGGGTGGAGTTGAGGAGCGCGGTTTCCTGAGAGGAAGTGACCGCACGGGGCAGGAATGCGCCGCCGGCTCTGCGCCGCATCCCGCCTGCCTCGCCGCGGTGCCGCGGGGAGCTCTCTCCGCCCCGCCAGCCATGCCGCACTTCACCGTGGTGCCGGTGGAGGACAAGCACCGCGCCGAGTATGACAGCGTGGAAGGGCTGAGCTGGGTGGACTACCGGGAGCCGGCCGCCGCGCCCGCCGCCGGCGACTCCTACGACACCGTCAGCTCCGACGGTGAGCGGGCACGGCCGGGCGGGGGGCGCCGGTGCCGCTCCCGGAGCGAGCGCGGTCGGATCCCCGCTCAGACAAAGCCGGCTCTCGGGGGCGGCGGCTCCGCCGTCAGCGGCGCCTGGGCGCCGCGCGCAGCGCTGTCAGCCGGCGACGGCTCCCGGGCGGGAGGTTCCCCGGGGTTGCGGGGTCGAGGTGTGCCCGGCCGCGCGGAGGAGCCGCCCCGGGGCCTCCCCTGCTGGCCGGTAGCCCGGCGCGCCGCCGTTATCGGGCCTCCCGCAAGCCGCGGCTTCAGAGCCGATGGGGGTGCGTGGAGGTACGCTCGGATATTTTGGGCTCTCCGCCTCGAAGAAACGGGCGGTAGAGCACTCTGTTCGGTCGGATCTCGGGTGATCGCTTGCTGTTCCTGCTGCTGTTGTTACAAAACCCCTCTGCCTGGCGAGACCTTAGCCGGGCCCTGGGTGCTACAGCAAGTGCATTGTGTGCGGGAGGATTTCCCAGCTGCTCCTCTTGGGCAGCTCCGCTTTTTGTTGTTAGCCGCTAATGTATTCCGATTACAGAAGAGGTTCCTGTAAACGGGACGGGATTTTGGGCGGTGAGGAGGCTGTACGGCTTCATTAAGTAAGCGGTGTCAGCGCTCAGCCTGTCTTGGTGTTTTTCTGTAACTCAGTAAGTCAGCGTAAATAGGATGGTTGTTTCCTGTGAGAAAAGGAAGAACGCTCAGATTCAGAGAGCGGAATAGTTCTGGTAAAAAGCTGCTTCAGCTCTTTGCAGTATCTCTTGTGTTTTTTTGCACTGGTTATGTCTAGCCTTGTAACCTTTGGGAAGAGGTTCGCCTGTACTCAATGTGTGAATCTGACTTGCCCTCTGTGAATCACTTGTGATTCTAGGCAACAAAAGAAAAATCAGTAAACACCTGACCTGTTCTCCCTTGTCTGTGCTGTCAGACTTTTCGGAATGCAGGTGTTATGGGGTGCACAATGTAATTGCTGAAGGGAGCCTATGCAGCTCAGAACTCTGCTCAAGGAATGGGAAAGGTTTATTTCGCTGGATGATACTCAGCTGTCATGAGATGAATGCCAGGTTCCCAGCTTAGCACCCTGTTTGGCTCTCTTTGAATTTGTACTTCAGTGTTTCACTTTCTGACATACAATTTCTTTTCTTTTGCATAGTTTTCAAAAGAATTTTAGATTTCATGTAGGTCTCATGCCTATTACGTTAGTTCTTCCTAACCTGGGCACTTAGGAGCGATGAAAGATAAATTTTCTTTCTAATTTGTATGCTATTACAGACAATTTGAGGCGCTAGCCTTAAGGCTGTGTATGGCCTTGACTTCATTTTATGAGCAGATCTGTGTTAAGCTCATGTTACTTACTATATCATTAACATGTAAGGCAGCAACAGATGTCTTTTGTGGGGTACTTTCTTCCCTTGTTAGCTGTCCCCATGGGTTGGTTGGGACTTGTGGAAACAAGTGCTGTGGTGCAAAAGGGAAGGTCAGTCAGTTCAAGTTGTCTGTCGTTTGGGTAGCAGTGCCTGTAGGATGTGCGCGAGCAGCATGCTCTAAGTCTGTCAGTAGCTGGCAAGTTGTGGTCTGTGCTGCATGCAGAACCATGCTGCTGGAAGTCAGCTTAGTCTTTATTTTGCTAAACATCTGGAAAATCTCCATTAACGTATGGTAGTTGAGTTCTGTTTCTGTTTGAACTGTAACTGTCTTCTATTTTTTAATTTACTTTCACAGTAATTAAGTGTTGTTTCATATCCTCAGGGTATGTGTATACAGATACATTCTCTTCCCTACCTGTAGTGACAAGTGTGTTCTTCCCCACTGGCCTCTTCTGTCTTCTCTGAGGTTTCCTGGGTTATGGTTCAGTAGAGGGGAATATAAAATCTCACTCAAATTACTCCTCTGGTTCTTGGTGCTTCCTTTTATATATTGTGCAGAGCAAAGAAGCCTCTGCTACCTAAGGAAGAGCTGAAAAAACGACATGGTAGAGCTGGGTTGCTGCTGTTGAAGCCCAAGTACCTTACAGCTGCTTAATGCTTGCCAGAGCCTGCAGCGTTGATGAGAGCAGCCTTCCAGAGCTTTCTGTGGCAGCTGATTATGGGGCTCTGGAGGAATTGACTGATTGGTGTTGGTGACACCTGTGGTTCCAGATAAGGTAAACTTTAACTGAAATGCACAAATTCATAGTTTTTGATTGTGGCCCTATCCAAGTGCACATGATTCATGCTGGTGCTGTGAATGCACACATAGCTGCCCCAACAATGCCATTTGTCCAGTCTTCCTGTTCAGTCAAGTACTACCACCAAAGTCAGTATAAGAGAATTACTGAATATTTTCCAGGCAAGTGTTAGAGCAGCTTGCTAGTCAGAGTCTTATTCAAAGTCTTTTAAAGACTTCTTTGGGCTGCTCAGTTTGACTGGAGATGGGTTAAAGTGACTGAGTGGTGATATGGCCCTTCAAGCTTAGGATTGAGCATTGTTACTCAGTTCTGCATGTGAAGTAGCAGATTTGTTGGTCAGACACTCCTTGCACCATCTCTGGAGCTTATGGTTCTGAGGTCATTTCCCCCTAATCTTCTTACTCAAACCTTTATTTATCATAGCCTTGTTATTTTTCTTTCTTTTTTTTTAAATTCAACTTCACTTAGAATGTCAAGTGATGTGATGTCATCTCAGCAACACAGAAGTGAAGCCATTCTGCACCAGAATTTCTCATCAACAATTTGCCTAAGGAGATATTGGTCAGTGTGTAATAATTTAGCCTTCCCAGACAGCTTCATTGTTTGGTTGTGAATAAGCAGATCCTTCCTGCTGCTCATAATAGATTTTGACATCTTCCATTTAGAAAAAGAAGCACAAAGACTAATGCTGTGATCCTATGACAAACATGTGAGCCTTGCTTCATGGACCGGCAGGGATGAGAAATGTGAATTTGGCATCTCTTCAGTCTTTGAAACAACGCCAGTGTGTTAGGTTGGGTACACAGGGTAAGAAATGGGAAAGTGGAATCTAAATAATATTAAAAAACAAACAAATGAAAAAAACCCACAGTGAATAAGCTTTGCTGTAATAAGAATCTCAGCTTTACAGTGGTTGTACACCCTGTTAACTGAAATGAGACAACATCTTGTTTCCTGAGGGAACTTATTTATCCTCCTGTGACTTTTGTTTGTGGAAATGAGATGCTAATCAGCTTGGTGTCACTAACTAACTTTGGTCAGCTGCCGCTCTTAGTTTTTGCTAATGAATAGCTCTGCTTATGTTCCAGTTATCACATGCTTTTTTTTTTTAGCCCACATTTTTCTAACTAGACTCGAGATCTTTTCCTCATCTTGCAGTCTGCATCAGTATGCACTGTGTCCTTGTGCAGCAGCAGATAATGCCAGTCGGTTTTAATAAACTATTTTTGAACCAGAGAACATGGATCAAGAAAGTTCTCCTGTGATGACAGTTAATTTTTATTTTAAGCTTTTTCTCAGTCCACTGCTTTAAATATGAAATAATTTATTAGTAAAGGTTTTAAGTTGCTTTCAAGACTTAAGATAAAGCTGGCATAAAATACATCTGAAGGTACATCTAATGGAGTTAAGCAAATCCCTTTGCAAAGCACTTCATTCTTATATACAAATGTTTTGGCGAAGACCAGAGACAAGGTAAAGTTAGTCATAACAAATGAGATACTACAGCTAAATAGGGATGAGAGAAGTAAGTGGCTAAAAATATTTTAGGTTATCTTAAATTCAAGCTAAAATTTCTGCTAGCAGCAATGTGGGTAAGTGGTGCTGTTAGAGTTGTCATAGCAGCAGGTTTTTGCGTAAGCTCTGTGGCATGTGTGCCTTCAGCAGTATTCCTGTTGCCTCAAAACTGCAGAAAGAAGTCATGCAAGAGGGGGCTTGGGAATTTGAAGCAGAAGCTCGGAACTGTTAGGGAGAAAAATAACTTGAGAAGTACACTGATGTCAGTGAACTTCCTCTTCTTGTGAATAGTTAACTATTGGTTTGATGAAAATGGTATGGATATTGCATGTCCTTAAACCTAATTTTAATGAGGAAGGGGTTTTTTTTTCTTTTCTGTTGGGAAGAAAACAGCAACAAGAGAAACCATATTCTGCTAAGGTTTGCATCACAATTTCCTGTCTGCGTAAAGCTTAAAGTGGAATTTTGAGTCCTATGAGTACTGAATATGCCAATATTGGTTCCTGTTATGTGAAGAGATTGAGATATTTTGATTTGAGTTAATCCCTTCAACAGTGAATATAATTAATATACAGTGCTGTGGTTGTCATTGGAAATGCAGATCCTGAAAGGAGGCTTAGCAGCACGGTCATCCTTGTGAAGCCCAGTGCTTTTTTGCTCCTTGTACATTGGCAGTTAGCACAACACTGTTTGCAGCACAGAACTCCAGAATGCTTTTCTCAACAACACAGGTGCAGAGATAAGTGGGCCCTTGCTGGAGATAAGGAGAGATAAGCATGTGGTATGTGAAAAATGAAAGTGGAGAAGTGCTTTGTGACACCATTCGCTATGTGTAA